CAAAGCTTGGGATTCTAATTTTTTGTTGTGAGAGCCCTGCATCTAAATCTTTATCACGAAAAAATTTTATAGCAAAAATTTATATTATACCATATATAGTTTTGATTTACTTAGCTGACAGACAGCCCCAACGATACATCGCTATAGCGATAAATTACAATATCCTAAATATAAAAATCGATAAATATTTTTAATTTTTAATATGAATATAAAAATCGATAAACATTTTAATATAAATGTAAAATCGATATTTATTTCAGGAAATTTTCACCGATTGAGAAATAAAGTACAGTAATGCATTTTCAAATTTAAGAATGATTCACTTCGATTAATAATCAATGTAAATTGAGGAACGATGCATAACATGAAGCTCTGTGACTTGGAGATGCATTAGGGCGTTTGATGTACGACTTAACAAAGAGGATTAGGGCAAGGCATATCGAAAGAGCGAATATAACTAATAATGTATGAGTACTTTAATAGTTTGTCACTTGAGAAAGAACATAAGTTTATTAGATCATTTCGAAACGGTTATTTATTGTCGACGAGTTGATTGATTGTAGAGTGAAGCCAAAGTTCATCTCTTATAAAGAAAAATTTACATTATAAATAAATAAAGTAGTGTAATGAATAAATATAGAATGGGATATAAATACTAAATACCGTATTGTCGCGAAATAACGCGAAGGGGTAAAATTATGAAATTCGACCTGAATTAAGCTTAATTCGGGGCATTATCCTAAATAACGCCCGTGCCCATTAATTCGCGACAATATTGTATAATAAATATAAGACAAATACATGATATGAAATAACTAAAAGAGCTAATTAATATACGATATGCTAAATATGTTAGAACTATGTTAGTAAGAATAACTAATAGATAGAAGATCACAGGTGCGTTGTGATCATGTGACTTAACGGCTATGAAGAATATTCAGTAAATCGCCATGTTAAACCATTGCGTGTGGTTTATATCGCGATTTATGGTATAATATTGTTTATAATAACAATATCCAGATTAGCCTGGTAAATAATAAATGTGACAGATTAAAATGAAATATTAAAATGAAAATTTGTACATTAGTTCCAAATAGACAAAGTAACAAGAAAATACAAATTTTTGGAGAGCATTTTTTAAATGGAAACCTCAATTTTCATTTTGATCCAATTTCATTATAATCTGCGACATTAAATAATATATATATATAATTTAAATAATTTGATTAATAATAAAAGCAAAATTAATTAACACCAATATGAAATTAAATCCAGCTAGTTCATTATAAAATGAAGTTGATGTCGAAGAAACAATCTGTGTAGTTGTACTACTTCCAGAGCTTGAGATTTAAAAAAATACATATGAGTTAATCTTATTCATCTATGAAAATGTGTTAGCACAAAAAAAAATTACCTGGTTGTACTTGGTGTGGATGATGTTGGTGTAAATGATTTTGGTGTAAATGATTTTGGCGTAGATGATGATGTTGGTGATTTTGGTGTAGATGATGTAGGTGCTTTTGGTATAGATGATGTTGGTGCTTTTGATGTAGATGATTTTGGTGTAGATGATGTTGGTATAGATGATGCTGGTATAGATGATGTTGGTATAGATGATGCTGATATAGATGATGTTGGTATAGACGATGTTGATATAGGTGCCTGAGCAGTTGCTATGGATGATGTTGATATAGGTGCCTGAGGAGTTGGTATAGATGATGTTGAAATAAGTTCCGGAGGTTTCTGAGGTGTTGGTACTGAAATAATTAAAGTTTTTAACGTAGTAATTGTGGTGTACATAATAGACGAGCGATTGTACACATAGCAAAATTCAGACGACGTTTCCCTTCTTGCAAGCTGTGGACGTGCTGATTTTGCAGGAGGTGGTTGTGCTGATTTTACAGGAGGTGGTTGTGCTGATTTTGCAGGAGGTGGTTGTGCTGATTTAACAGGTGGCTGTTTAGCAGGTTGTGTTTCAGTATCTGGTGTCGTTTTAGCAGGTGGTGCTTTAACAGATGGTTGTGTTTCAACATGTGGTGTCGTTTTAGCAGGTGGTGCTTTAACAGATGGTTGTGTTAGAGTATGTGTCGTCGTTTTAGCAGGTGACGCATCACAACAATGGTAACTTAATAATTCACTATAGCATGTAAATATACATGTTTCTGTATTCTTTGGTGTTTCAGTTTCCGTTGGTGGACATGTTGTGTATTGAATATTTGTAGTATATGGTATTGTAATAACGTATTTAGTTACTACTGTCACGTCTCTTTTTTGTAAGTTAATTATATCATCACGGCCATTTACAATTTCATTAGGATAAAACATTGCTGTAGTTCCAATAATTCTAAAAAGAATCATTAACATGAAAACTTTATCGGCGTAATAAACCCTCATTTTTTTTAATATGTAATTGTGCAATTATTAAAAAAGAAAGATTTAAATATCTGGCTACAACCCATATTTATATAGAATTTGTAAATATAAATTAACGCGTGTTCATTAAATCTCACAATGATTTGTCAAGAAAGGAATACATTCAAATTTTTGGATGTAAATGTTACACAATATTCGTTCTAGATTATCTTATAAATCGAGGCTTCATGATGCACAAATAAACTTTTTTTATCCAACGCATTTAAATCCGTTTTTTAAATCGTACAGTGCCAAATGCCCAAATTGGGAAAGATATCTTCTAAAAAAAGATTCTTCATTATTTTTTGTCAGGAACTTCTGAATGAAAAAAATAATTTTTTATAAATGCAATTTTTTGGGAACGCCTACTTTCATCATGGAAATTTGCTATTTTTTCTACCAAGTTTTTCACATGATTCCAGCTACATAAACAAGAACTTATTCATGGTGAAATAGGCATTCCAAATTTTTAATTAATTCGCTTTATGAATCACATTGACACTTATTTATTAATTAAAAATACACAGTAGTCATCTCTTAATATAATGAACCTTGTTATAACAAAAAAGGACACTTTTATCTGACTACATTTGGATTACTAGCCATTTATGCATTTTAATTGTCCTAAATTCACATTCACATTGTAATTTTCATACTTTTTGTGATGACTTTCTATCACGCTGAGTAACTATCCAACGAAAATTTATATTACAGCGATTAAATAAGTGCATACCGATAAAAATCAAGGGTACTTTTATTCGCTAACTTCTGATGATCTGGCACCATTTTAATCTTTAGCTGAATTAAAAAAAAAATATGCATAGGTTAAGCTCAATATTTTGAATCTAAAGAATAAATTAAAGTTTGAAAAATTTTATTTGTTTTGTAAAATAAAACCTTAAGACTATTTCATAAATAGTAATGGTGATTACGGGATTGTGTAATTAAGCCAAGAGTTAAGATTAGCCTGATTTAGAGTTAGGATTGATCTGAATTTTTAATCTTCATGTTGGCTAACGCTAGATGTCAGTTTTTAAGGAAATTGTTTTCGGAAATTTCACAATCATAATTTCTATCGTTATCAAAGTTTGATATTGATTGGAGCCTAGTGTTATCATGATTGTTAAATTCAGATTTTACTTATTTGTGTGAATGACATAAATCCAAAAAAGGAATATAGCCAATTACAGGATTTGCATCTTGAATCTTGTTTGTGCAGGATCTTATAGATGTTTAAATTATTAAATAAAATTATTATTCAGACTAAAAATCTATTTTTTGTGATAAAATTTCCCATTTTGGGTTTGTATCACTCACACAAAATAAAGATTTCCTATTACGATATTCATTTGGAGATTCGGGAGATCCGCAACTAAATAGACAACCAAAAGAGTAAGCATTGTTTTAATTTCCATTTTAAGGATACAGTACAATAAAATATAATGAAAACTCGGCAATCATATGCGACTTTAATCAAGAACGGTACTATAATGATATATACTACTGCTTACTTTAAAGTGATGCGTTCTTGATAGATTAATAGCTGAAAATCATATAAATCATATCTAAATGTGGTTACTACGTATTACAATAAATTTTAAGTTGTGATCTTGAATATAGCGATGGCATGGGTAAATTAATACTTGTGATTGGAAAATTCATCATGTATTATGTAACAAGGTTATCTTTAACATCAGTAATTATAACCACTTTCTGAATTTCTTTGTGT